GCTGGGTAGCTTATACTCACTGGTAGCTTATAGTGTTTCGGGTGGTCTTTGACCTTTATCGAGGCCACCTTCTGTTGCAAAAGATAGGTTGTCATAATATGTGCCGGGAAAGGCTGTGATAAAAATGTTTTCAAGCAATGCCTGCGACAAGGTATTGGTATCAGAGATAGCATGCCTTCGGCCTTTCGCCGTAGTCCTGTGTGTTGGTATCCATACAACGTTTCGGGTGTTGTCAGGTGTCCCTGAAAAGTCTTGAGGACTGGGTGGTGCTCGGCTTTCAGGCTTGTACGCGCCGCAGCCCGAGCTTTCTGCTTGGAATTACTCAAATCCGGACCTGGGCCCCCCGATTACGAGTGGAACGCTCCGCCTCCGAGCGGACCGGGAAGGATCGTACTTGGTGTTAAAACTTCCTCGTAAGCGTCACCTGAATTCTTCCGGGTTTTTTTTCTCGCAGAATTAGGGGCCGTTGTGACTGATATTACGCTCGGCGACCTCATGGAGCTGTTACACAACGTCATGTGCGTTGTCTCGGTGACCTTCCTAACTTCCTAGAATTACGTTGTCGGTGAGTGTTTCCTCGTCGTCAGGTGGGTGGGTGTTCGCCTCCTGACTATGCGTGTTTTGCCGCACCAGACTTCAAGAGTTGCCCCCGTTGGCTGCCTTGCTGTGCTCTTCCCGTCGCGATGACAGAGGGTGCTGTGGTTCAGACCTATGTAATAACACATTTGCTTCATAGATGCACTTCTTTTTCAGCGAAAAAATCTTTAAATGAAAGAAAATTGCAGCTGCTCAAGTTGCGTGTACGGCTATCCAGCGAAAAAGAACAGCTTGCTGAAAAGGAGGAGAAATTCAATTCCTGTCTTGCTGAAATACAGGTGGTGTTCAAGACCAAGCTGCCCTTGGTGATCGCTGTAATGTCTGATAGGCGTACTGTGCTTTGTATGCAATGCCTTTACTCAGCTACATGAAATTGGTATCGTTCGTAACGGTCAATATGGGCTGCTGAGCTGAAAATAACCCACCTTCACTATACCATGAGACCGACTTGTGCTTTATTCCACTTAGATGAAACTGGTTTCGAAACCGAACCAAACAAAACAGAGCCTGGGTCGAACATGTCACGAAGTGATTGTCGGAAAATTCAATCCAATCTTATTCTGACTTCAGCTGGTATAATTCCTTGCTCCGAATCGGAATGCAATCTAAATTCTTCTAATTCGAATTAGGTTTTTTCTGTGGAAAGCGGCGAAGGTGGTGCAGAAACATCCCAGCATGCATGTGATACATGAACGCATACAGGATTTCGCGATGGGGAGATACAACACATTTTTTACACTGAAAGCCCAGTTCAGTGCGCTGCGAATCACACAATTGGTTGTATTGAGTGAAACAAAATGGAGCGTTTTCAATTTACCTGTAAAATCGTGTCTTCGCCAAATGTTTTAGTGGCAAAGGGAATATGTCGTCACCTTTGAGCGTTTTTTTTTTCACTTTTTGCTCTAGTTCAATAGGTCAGAGGGCGCCGATACCTCAGCGCTGGATTGTAGGCCAATGGGTCAGTATGTCCGTCAGCCTCTGTCCTGTCCTCCAAAGTGACGACTCCTCCGTTCGGGCCGTTCCCAGTCGGACCTAACCCAGCTGACGGAGACCCGCTCACTGCTGGTCCAGTCCCGGCTGGAGCTGGCCAGCGTGCGGGAGCAGCGCGGCCGGCTAACCCAGCAGTGCCAGCAGCACGTCAGCGCCAGTCAGGTGGCCGCCCAACAGACGGACGCCGCCCACCGGCTGGCTGAGCAGCAGCAGCACGTGCAGCAGCTGCAGCACGGTACGCCGGCCGACGCGCGAACGTCACGCGCTTGTATGCGTACCTGCCATCACACTATTTGCATGTCTGTCCGTGGATGTGTTTCGCTCATGGCTGGTACCTAATATCTACACAGACAAAATACTGTGCCTATCATTAGGCTTGACGGGACAGCTCCGTGGCTGGATCGGGCCGGATGCCCGTTAGACGGTGTTCTGGTGAGCGAGCAGCGCGTCCCTCCACAGAGCGTGCTCGGCTGGAGGGCCGGCTGCGCGGGGGCGCCGCCCTCCGCTCGGTCCGGCAGCGGGCGGACGCCACCGAGGCGCGCCGGGACGCGCTCGAGCAACGGCTGGCCGAGCGGCGGCGGTCCGACGCTGATGATGAGGCGGCCGCCCAACAACTGCGCGCCCAGCTGGACCAGCGCCAGGTGAGCCCAGCAGCCTGGAATTATGATCACGCTGGTACCTGGTGGGTATTCGCAAACGCCAGGCTCTCCGGCTGGGGCGGGCCGTAAGTCGCGTCTTCCGCACGTTGGACCGGTCTGCCGTTACCCCCGGTCACGTGGGCCAGCACGGGTCCCGTAGGTTGTCCAGAACCGTTCTGACAGCCCTGTTTAGAGGCCGGCAGATCACGCCAATCAGCCATGTACTCCTGCCTTTTCCTTCGGGCTGGGGCGCTCCTGACCCCTCTATAAAGTCAGGCACGTTGCACGTTTGGCGCCAGGTACGTCATAGGTACATTGCCAGTTGTGCCAGGTTCGGCGCCGAGCGCGTTGTTTCCGTCGCACCAGCAGCACCAGGGACAGCGCAAGGGACGTGAGGAGCACCAGACACGTCGCAGGTACAGCGCCAGGTGTGTCAAGCACAGGGCCGGGTGCGACAGGTACGTCAGACACAGCACCGGGTGCGTCAGGTACGTCAGATAAAGCCGCGTCAGGTACGTCAGGCACAGCCGCGTCAGGTACCTTAGGCACAGCCGCATCAGGTACCTCAGATACAGCCGTACCAGGTACGTCAGTTACAGCCTCGTCAGGTACGTCAGGCACAGCCGCGTCAGGTACCTTAGATACAGCCTCATCAGGTACCTCAGATACAGCCGCATCAGGTACGTCAGACACTGCGCCAGGTGCGTCAGGTACGCCAGATAAATCCGCGTTATGTACGTCAGACACAGCCGCGTCAGGTACATCAGGCACAGCCGCGTCAGGTACCTCAGATACAGCCGCATCAGGTACGTCAGTTACAGCCGCGTCAGGTACGTCAGGCACAGCCGCATCAGGTGCGTCAGTTACAGCCACGTCAGGTACCTCAGGTACAGCCGCGTCAGGTACGTCAGTTACAGCCGCGTCAGGTACGCCAGGCACAGCCGCGTCAGGTACGTTAGATACAGCCGCGTCATGCCAATAGTCAATGCCACTGTCAAATGGCGTAGACGCATCGGCGACCGGCCGGCCGGTCGGAGAAGTTCCCGAGAATTAAACTGTAGGTGGTATGTGCTCGCGTTGGACTTAGCCGGCCCGCGGGGATTGCCAGTGTATTTGAGTGACGAAGATGTCGGCTATCGAGTACTCGTCTGGAGGAAAGTAAAGCGCTAAACATGTATTCTGTGGTTGATAATCGGGGACGGTGTCGTCGGCGGAGGTGTCTTGCCAACTGACATGTCTGGCCATCACAGACAGGTGGGGATGGCATGCGTCTGAATCCCACTGGACGGTGAAGTGACTCTCGTAGCGCAGCGCGCCGGTGAGTCGGGCTAGTGGTGAAGGCAATTTCGATTGTCACGGGTGAATCTCGCGGACGGTGAATGTCACGACGCCGTTTCGTGACGTGATAACAGCCCTCCTCCGCTGGCTGCAGGCGGAGATGACGTCGGACCAGGAGGCGCTTTCCGCCCAGCTAACCGGAGCACGCGACGAGCAGCGGCTGGAGAACGAGCGGCTACGCTCGCTCGAGCTGCGCGTCGCCGAGCTGCGCTCTCAGCTGGAGGGCGCAGAGCTACGCTGACTTCGCGCCGGTTTTGCCGCAGCTGCGTCGGACCCGGCGGGTCTACCGACTTCTCACGCCGGGAAGCAGGCGGTGCGACTTACCAGTCATCGTTGGAAATACTTATCGTTCATGTTTGCGCTGTGTATTTCTTGAACTCTCGACTGTCAGTTGATGACCCAGGTGTCACTCACTCGTACGATTGGAAGACAAAAGTATGCTGGTAGGTCATCCAGCTGGCAGAGTGGAAAGGTATGCTGGTAGGTCATCCAACCGGCAGAGTGGAAAGGTTCACTGTTTTGGGGTATGTTTTCGTTAGTTGTGCCTTTTCCGAACATACTTATTTTCATTGGCTGTTATATTCTTGTTCATTAGTGGTCATTGTTTCGTTATGCTATGGGTCGGCACTACCGTTTTTCACCATTCAGATAGGAGACGATCATGCTGAATACTAATACACGTCTTGCATTCCTCCAAACTTCCTCTTCCCAAATGTGTTGTGCAACGTTTGCCTATGAACCAGCGATTATTTCTCCCTATGTGCAGGTAAGTACGTATTCTCCCTGTGTACAGGATCAGGCGCCGAAACGGAATTTGCGACGGGAGAGGCTCTTTTTGCGGGCTACGGATAGATTCTAGCCCCATTAATAGTACCCACGCGCTGCGAACAGACGAACAGACACCTCAAACGTTAGTGGTACAGTGTCTAGCATAGCGATAAGCTATCGATGTTGGCTTACCTTCAGGGCAAAAGAGCAAACCTTTTACCCTGGCGCATTTAACAATTGTTTCAGCCCCCCCCCCCCCCCACGCCTTCCGCTTCCCCTTCCCCCCGCCGAATATACACGTGTGGGGTACACTGTGTGTCCCGAGTAGATGCTTCATATTTTACCGGAACGCACGGCATTTAACTAGCGACATCGTGATCATCTGGCATAGAAGTATCGTGAATATAGCAATAATTAGGCATCTCGTCGCTTCCCCTGCGCAAAATCCTGGATGCGCCTCTGTTGATTACGTAATATTTTCTTTCCAACCGTGATATTTGTCAACAGGTTTCAGGCTACTGCCATCAGAGCTGATCAAGAATACGTTGAAAATTTTGTCAGGGTTCTTTCATGCCCAATTTGCCTTATGTCATACAATTTGTTGGGTACATTTCACAGCCTACGAGAATGCTGTTCTCTATTTCCAGGATTCTGTTTTCGCAGGCGAAGCCGGGTTGTCAGTGACAAACATGGCACGTCCGTGCGGGTGGGGAGGTGCGTTTATGTTGGGTCGAAATTGGTTGAATAAAGATTTTTCAGCGGGTAAATGTCGAAATCTATCTAGGCTGCTCTACGGTAGTGGGCCATCAGTACAGATAGGCCACAGGAGAAGTGTGACAACCAGTTCTGGGGCGGAGCGGAAAAGGCTTGGCATATTTGGGAAGGCCGTGCTGTTAGGACTTGGAGTGGGAGGAGTGTACGGATATTACAGTTATGAGCAAAGAAAGAAGCTTTTATCGAAACCAGCATCAGGAGAGCAGTTCTTTCTCAAGGATCCTCCACCCAAACCGGTGGTCTCGCGGCGGGTAAGTTTTTGAATGTTGCTAGTCTTGTGTAATGAACAGCATGGTAAGACAGCTACACTTGTTATGTAATCATGGCTTTCACATGCTATAATGTGAGGTGACGAATTTATATATGTATATATATATATATATATATATGTGTGTGACAATCTTGTTTCTGCTTTCATTGTCTTCAATATATAAACCTTATGTGAGGGTCTTTGTATATTATATTGGTGTGTGATCATAACCATTTGGCTTAGCCATCTGTGTATTGTGCAGTAGTCTTTAGCATGAGCATGGGCAGAACATATATGGGCAGTGGGCATATGGGACATGAAGTGTTGATTTTTGTGACATTGACAAGCTTAACACAGTAAATACATCCTGTCTTGTACATATCAGGTTTCATGGGTTTAGCTTTTGATTAAGGATTGTTAAAAGTGTTGCTTGTTTTGGGTCATTTTCAGAAAACACCTGGTAGAAGAGGGAAGTGGCAAAACAGCCAGTAGTTTCAGGTCACAGAGAGCCAATGTTTCAAGAAAAATATGGCTCTTGATAGGTATATTTTTGGGCAAGAGTATTTAAACATTCTTTCACCATAGCATAATCTGTATCTTCAAAGCAATTTCATGTGTTCTTAGTTTGGTGCACACATGCACAAGGTTCAACACCATTATTATACAAGCACTCCACTGGATAATTATTTTTCCAGAATGTCATGACTGCTATGGAGTTAACACATTTGTTGCTAATATTTCAAGGTGATTTGACATCACATGTGTAAGTTATTATACACTGAAAAGTCTTGCATCATATGTTACAGCTCCTGTCCATTGATTTTAACATATACAACATATTCATTTTGTCAACACACTCAACAGAAAGGTATGTGATGCCCAGCATTCCAAAACTCATCCAGTAATGTGCACAGAGCGTGAATTTAAATTATACAACCAGAGTTCTGGCTCTTCAGCTGCCCATTCAATCAATTTTTGGTGCTAATCTGTTGCCCTTTGACCCTGACCCAGACATTTGATCAATTCAGCTCATTTGTCAAGCCTTAGTCACACAGATACTGGTTTGACAGCCATCTGGTTTGATGCTGGCAGGCCAATTTTAACACTTGCTCCTGTGGGGGCCAAATTGTCCCCTCCCCCCCCCCCCCCCCCCAGAAGGTATTTCCAAAGTGGTTGACGAACGGCACAAAGTAGCCACACCAAATTCTGTGTAGCTGTAGACAATTGAATAGCAGATCATTTAGTGTAAAATTTAGATGTACCTTGTAGGCTCGCTGACCTATGGCAGGTTAAAGTCAGACCATGGTTCCAGCGAAGGCAATTTCCAGGGAATTGTTCAATCTGATGTAACTATGGAGTATTTGATGAAGCCAAACTTCTCTGAGATGCTATCTTAGGCAACACAAATGTTGAGTAAGCAAATTAAGTTGACCTGAGGTCAGGTATGAAGGTCAGACCAAGGTCAAAACCAACTGGTTTTATTACTCTGGGGGCTGCTGTATGGGATAGTTTCCAGTGCTGATTTCAAATGTATTGATAACAGGAACCACATTAGACATCTTCTATTTACTCCTTAGAGGTCAGAATAGGTCATTGACCTGAGGTGACCCATTTTAACATTTTGTTTTTAGGAACATACTGCCTAGCATAATCTTTTTTGCCTGTCCAAATGCAAAACTCAGAGCAGTCTTGTATGATTGTGATGACCATGACCTTCAAAAGGTCAGACAAGGTCACTGACAATAAATGCGCTCGCGACCTTTTGCTTTGAAACAGTTATCTAGGTTCTGGGGGCACTGGAGTCCAACCTGTAATTTGACCTTCTTTGACCTTATTTGACCCGAAGGTCGTGACCTAGGAATCTCAAGTTTTGACCTAAATGAGTTCTTGTACAGGTCAAATCACCCTGTAAATTTGGTGTCCCTAGCTTTCCTAGTTTTCGTAATCTCAGCTGGGGCCAAATTGACCCCCTCCCCCATCCGAGCGAAGGGTATCGAGCCGGCCACCCGGGCGCGTGTTAAGTGAGGGGAGGGGCCATGGGCAGTAAGCCCAAAGTGGGGGTGTTATGGCATGTAAAATATTTACATCCCTGCCACCCAAGTGGCCGAATATTGAAACACTAGTGATGCCCTTCCTCTGATTTAAATTATCATGCATGCCAGTACGGCCACCAGTGTATCAAGGATCTGGCCTGGGAGAAGCACACACTTCTGCCGTAGCTGATGTGCACTTTGTAATTGAGGCATACTTTTGAGAGTTTTTGGATTAAATGTCCTCCACAGGCATGCCTCCACAGCACTGTGTACCGGACCACCCCACTTTCACGTACAGAGTGCATGGCATACACATTGTACCAAGCAAAGGACTTAAAAACATCCAAGGTGGTTGTGTAGGAGTTCCGTCTGCCCCCCCCCCCCCCTCCCATCCCCCCGGAACGAACCGACACAGCCAAATTAACCTCAGCGCTGCGCCAACGTGGAAGCGGCGGAGCGGAGACACGTGGCAGGCGCTCCACACCCCAGCTCTGAAAACATGGCACACCTGCGCTATGTCGTTCTATGGACAGAAGGGAAGTACACGTGGCATTCCACTTCCAATCGCCCCAGATTATCCTCTCGCCGTGAGCGTCCCCAGTGCGGCCCAGCACGGGCCCAGTATCTCTTGAAACGGTGTAGTAACGCAGGCCGACGCTGTGGCGCGACACGTTCGTAACCTTTCACGGCATGGACGCCTTTTGGGTACGCTCTGAACGCGACTGTGCATGTCTCCGACTCACAGCCTTGGCCATTCCGAAACTTACAGCCTGGCCCCAGCTCAGAGCGGGCTGCTCACGACGCAACTAACGCGTGCCCTGATGCGCGCGTTAGGGACGCGTCTCAGCACACCTCAGCACGCCCTAATGCGGCCCCATTGGGTGCGTTCGTCCGCCTCGACACGACACAGCTCCGGAAGGCCTCAGCGCTGCCCTAAAAGTGGCCTCGGCAATGTTACGGTCTCAGCAAGGCCCCGAAATGGCTCAGGCAACAGCCGGGCACGGTGCCATCGTGGCGCCATGTGACTCGCGCGATGCTGCCTCCACCTGGCGTACGCACGGACGCCGCGTATGCCGTGGAGAGGAGCGAAGCAGGCGCGTGACACCCGTTAGGTATTCGAGCCGAGTTTTTTTTACCAAGAGTGCGATCGCCTTCTGCGTGCTCAGCGCTAAATAACCGGAGATAATGAGCGCTTCGTTAAATCCCCAATTACAACAACCCGGTGAGCAACATTGTCTATATTGGGAATAAAAACTATGATGCCTGAATTCCCAATATTCACTGTTCATGTTGCCGTTTGCCTGATAGAATGTCATTCGCCCAGCGAAATTATCGCATATAATCAGGCCCAAAAACAGTAAAGCATCGTCGGCCATCAAGGAGACTGAGAATGACGTAGTGCTCGTCGCTCCACTGCTGGCGCCGGGCTTGCGCCGGATCTGTCGCTGATCGGCGGCACTTGTGCCGGTTCCGCCGCTGATCGGCGGCACTTGCGTCGGATCTGCCGCTGATCGGCGGGACTTGCGTCGGATCTGCCGCTGATCGGCGGCACTTGCGCCGGTTCTGCCCCTGATCGGCAGCACTTGCGCCGGTTCTGCCGTTGATCGGCGGCACTTGCACTGGCTCTGCCGCTGATCGGCGGCACTTGCGCCGGATCTGCCCCTGATCGGCGGATGTGCCACCCCCAGGCTTCTATTCCGGAGGACAACACCGGGCTGAAGCTGACGCTCTACCAGTACCAGACGTGTCCCTTCTGCTGCAAGGTCAGGGCGTTCCTTGACTACTACGGCATCTCCTATGACCTGATCGAGGTCAATCCGGTGCTCCGGAAAGAGGTCAAATGGTCCGCCTACAAGAAGGTGCCCATTGTGGTGGCGGAAATGCCGGAGGGCTGTCAGGTATGTCGTAGCTGTTAGTTTGGCGCGTGACGGGGCAACAGACGGGATTTTGGGCACGCACGCAGACAACTGACTGAATTAATGGTTTGGTGTTATTGAGCTATATTCTGTGCGTAATATGTGGTGCAACGCATAACATGTGTTTTTTTATCAACGAGCATTTTGGCATGTACGTTGTATGGCAAGCTGACGACAGTTCTGGCTTTCTAGATGATCGGCACGTCGCTTACGTCTTTTTTGCCACTTCTCGTTAATGAAGTGTCACATTTTGGGGGTTACAGATGTGGTAACCATCGGGATCAAACCGCGTCGCATTTGTCAGTTCTCGCGACGGATTGGCGGCCCCCGAACCACACAGACTCCAAAGCCAGAGCTGCTGTCGCTGACCGTCCGCGCTCTCCCGGCAGCAACTGAACGACAGCTCGATGGTGATGTCTGCGCTCTACTCGTACCTGTACGACCCAAGCCGAAGCCTAGCCGACCTGGCCACGTACTACCCGCCGCTGGTCTCCACCGACGACAAGGGACGCCGCAGGACCGACATCATGAACAAGTACTTCCTCATGTACGGCGACAAAGACACCAAACGCACCAAGGACGACATCAAGTAAGCTGGGGAACGCGCGGAGTGGCTGGATGCCAGGGCAGGGTTGTGCGTTTGTGTTTGTTTTTTATGCAGGGTCTGGCGTGATTGAAACGTGTCGTTTCCACCTGGTCCTTTAAATTCTAACTAGGTCGATGGCAGTGATCCGCTTAAAGTAACGTCTTTGTGCTGCGGAGTGAATGCTTAAATTTGCAAAGTATGTAAACATCTGTGATACGTAATGCCTGCTTTCGTCCGTAGTTGTAACGTTTGTTACAGCTCACATGTATCAACGGTGATTTGCCAATCTTATGTAATGAATGGGAACCTGTGTCCCCTGATAGCTCGAAATGTCTCAAGGCCTCTGATAGCTCGAGATTCGTCGATGGTAGACTCCCAAAACCTCATGATGTGCATCAGCCTGACGGGAGGGAGATCTATGTAGGAAGCTATCAGGTTAGCAAAGAAAATTGGCTGCTGCGTGCTGATTACGTATCTGCCAATGGGGACGAGACGGAGTGAAAACAATATGACGCCAAGAGAGCTTACCAACACAAACTGAGTGATGATCCCAAAGAGGGTTTGACACGTGGCTTTTTATCCGTGGCGTTGCATGCTCACCGCTTGACGAGGAGTATGTGACGAATAGGGGATCAACACATATCTCACCACCAACGCATGTGCACTTCAACGACAAAACGGCTGGACAGCTGGACACCAGACCCGTACAAGTTGGCAACGGCCAGCTGCAAATCGAGATCGGCCAAATCGAGGGTACTTCCGGCGAAAACATAGAATTGGCGACGGTCTCTTAGCCAAGGTCTTCCTGACCTGAAAGAGCGGTGCCAACACCTAGCCAGGCTCAGCGAGCAGGGCGCCCAGGCACCGAAAAATTGCGTTCCTGATGATTCAATGGAGAAACAGCGTGGAGAAACAAGAGCGTACAGTTCCGGTGGGCGCTGACTCAGGCCCAGAGAAGGCTGTGAACTACCTATTGAAGCTTCTCAGCAGTATGGGGGCCATCGTGAATGCCATTACAGGGGTTTACAAATTTACGTAGGCTGCTGCAGAGAAGCCGACCTGTCCAGGAGGGTGAGGAGGATGAGACCGACAATGTGGTGGACAGGAAAGCTCTGCGACCGTAAGGTTTCTTGTTGTAGGAGTGCCGTTGCAGCAGAATCGCAACAGACACCGGTACCCTGTCTGCACGTGCCCATCGCCATGTCGTGTCGTGACGTGTGCGGCCTCTGTTACTCAGCGCCCGACCCGTCTGCTGCCGAGAGTGCCCGAGCCGGGTGGCCGGCCGTAGTGCTGCACCTCGGGACGGCACCGGAGTCCACGGACTGGTCGGCTGGTTAAACGGCGATTCAGTTGACCGGGGCGACCTGTTTTGTGCCGAGGACGTTTAGGGGATAATCTGGGACTGATGTGTTACGTTTACAACTTGTATGCTACCGCTTACGCTTGGTGTCTTTGAAGCTGAACATCTGGCAGTGTGGTATGTCTGAGATGGTCTCAAACGTATTGTTCCAGCAGTTAATTTCCGACCGACAATTTGGTTGGAGCGTGATACACTATAAAATACACATACAAATACAAATACCCACGAAAAAATTCGGATCAATGTCTTATCATAAAACCAAGCACAGTGATCTCAAATAGTTAACATGCAGTGAACATTTTTTCATCACTCTCGCGTCGCTGGGCATCCCAGCCATAATCTGAATAATCGAGGCTGAATTGCAATAGCTACTGCCTGCTTAACGTTGCTAGTGGTGCAGTACTAAAGCATCCCCTGCTGGAAATACTGAGAATTGTTTTGTCATGTTCTTTTGTGGACATTGCTACACTTTTTGCCTTATTCTCCTGCCGATTTGTTGGCAGTAGTACGTAGCTCTTGTAGCTCAGTAGTACGCCTGGTTGGCCGCGTATGTGTCTTGGCTAGCAGCGAATCCTGCATAAGGGCGTATGATCACGCTGTCGGTTTTCATTCGCTCTTTTTTCAAACACGCGTGTTTCAATCTTCTCTCGGCTGTTCTCGACCGGATTTGCGTGTCTGCAGCGCATTTGAGGACCGCATTGGCAACTGGCATCGCACATTTGAGGACCGCATTGGCAACTGTCCGCACATTTTGGAACGCAAAGGATGGGGGTTCTTCGACGTTCACATCGCCTCGCCGCTGACTGCGCGCACTCCAGCCGGTGTTGCAAACCATGAGCCTGCGTCGTGGGGCACCATGTGGACGACCTGGCCACTTTTGTTGCTCTGCGTGCCCTACGCGCTCAGCGACGACCTCTCCAGCTACGTGCGTCACCACCAGATGCTCTACTACACCCCGGCGGCGGCGGCGACGGCGGCGGGTCGGGGCCGCGCGCGCCGCGCCGTGCCGCGGCTTGTGACGCTGAGCGCGTTCGGCCGGCGCCTGCCGCTCGAGCTGACGCCGGACCCGTCCGTGTTCGCCGCCGACGTGGCCTACCAGGGCCCGTCGGGCGCGGCGGAGGGCGCCGCGGCGCTGACGCCGCTCTACGTCGGCCGCGTGGTCGGCGTCGCCGGCTCGCGCGTGGCGGGCGCGCTGCTCGACGGCGTGTTTGACGGCACGATCACGCTGCCGGACGACACGCTGTTCGTGGAGCGGACGGCAATGCATGTGGACGGCGGCCCGGCCGGCCACTCGTTCGTGTACCGCGCGGGCGACATCGTGGCGCGCCGGCCCGGCAGCTACCGGCCCTGCGGCGTGGGCGAGCGGCCCGAGCCGTTCGACGCGCCCGCGGTGGGCGCCCGGCACCGCCGCGCCACAGACCACGGGCGGAACCACACGCTCGGCGGCGCACACGACGGCCATGGCCATGGCGACCACGACCACGACCACGGGCACGGGCACGGGCACGGGCACGGCCCGTTCTCGGTGCGTGCCGAGGCCATGTGCTCGATGATGGTCGAGACGGACCCAACGCTGTGGAAGTATGTGTTCGAACGGCAGGGCGGCAGCCTGTGGCGCACCGAGGCCTACCTGCAGGCGCTGGTGGGCGGCCATGTGCAGGCCGTGAACCAGGTGTACGCCGGAGCGGTGTTCGACGGTCGCCATCACCACCACGGCATCCAGTTCCAGGTGCAGAAGCTGGTGGTGGGCGACGACAGCTCGTGTCTGACCAACTACGCCGGTGCGCGCAGCCGACTCTGCTTCCAGCACGCCCAGTCGCAGACGTTCCTCAACGCGCACTCGAGCGCCAACTTCGACCCGTTCTGCCTGGCGTTCGCGCTGACGTATCACGACTTCGAGAATGGCGTGATGGGCCTGGCGTGGATTGGCGTGCCATGGCTGACGGGCGGCCGCGGCGTGTGCTCCCGGCACGCCGTGCGCCGCATTCGCAACCCGGACTCGGGCGTGGCCGAGACGCGCGCGCTCTCGCTCAACACGGGCATCGTGTCGCTGCGCAACTTCGGCCAGCGCGTGCACCCGCTGGCGTCGCAGCTGACTATGGCGCACGAGATCGGCCACAACATGGGCTCGCCGCACGACACGGGCGCGCTGGGCAGCCCCTGCCTGCCCAACGACCTCGGCGGCAACTTCATCATGTTCTACATGTCGCAGAGCGGCCACCAGGCGCACAACGGCCTGTTCTCGCCGTGCAGCGTCGGCAACATCTCACGCGTGCTCGACTACATCGGCGAGGGCCGCTACTTCAACTGCTTCGAGAAGCCGGGCGCCGCCTTCTGCGGCAACCGCGCCGTCGAGCCGGGCGAGGAGTGTGACTGCGGCTTCACCGACGACGACTGCGGCGACAAGTGCTGCTACCCGCGCCGGCCGCGCGGCCTGCGCCAGGGCCGCCTGGGCTGTCAGCGCCGCTCGGGCGCCAGCTGCAGCCCCAGCGAGGGCGCCTGCTGCAACCGCGACACCTGCCAGCTGGTGCCGGCCAAGGACAACGTGACGTGCGCCGACGCCGGCGAGTGCACGCTGGCGGCGGTCTGCGACGGCGCGTCGCCGAGCTGCCCGGAGCCGCCGCACCGGCCGGAGCTGACGCTATGCCGGCGCGGCAGCCGCGTCTGCCAGGCCGGCCGCTGCACGGGCTCCACCTGCCTGGCCGGCGGCCTGCAGCCCTGCCAGCTGACGGTCGCACACGTGGGCGACGACCGCGAGCTGCTGTGTCACACCGGCTGTCGCGCCCACAGCGGTGCCGTCTGCCTCCAGCAGGGCGAGTTTCGGCTGAGCCCCGGGGACAGCTGCAACGGCGCCACGGGCGTCTGCGACTCACTGCTGCGCTGCCGGCCTCTCGACACCCGCGGTCCCATCGAGCGGCTGCAGACGCTGCTTGGGGACGGCGGCGGCGTGGGCGTCGCCGGCGGCGTCGGCTGGCTGCGCCGCAGCTGGTGGGCGTCGCTGCTGCTGGCGGCGCTGCTGGCCGCCGTCTGCGCGTTGCTACTGCGCTGTGTGGCGCTGCACATCCCGTCGTCGAACCCGAACAAGCCGCCGGCGCGTACGCTCACACAGACGCTGCACGACCCGGTGGCCACGTTTTTCGGGTTGCGCGGCGGCGGCGATCTGGACCTGTAGGCGCGACGCCTGTAGCGTCTACAGCGGCGGCGCGGCTGCGGGTCTTGATACCGCACTTGTGGGGACCTCTGGCTCGCGGGCCGGGGGGACTTCCGTGCCGCCCACTTCGGCAGTGGCCGGTGTATGTGTTAGAGGACGGCTTGATTTTGTGTCGCTCGAAGTGTCGGACACGTACGGTTGAGGTGATCCGTAAATATCCATAGGTGAAACTGTGAACCTCTTTGTGGGGGGTGGAGCGTGGCTCCCCGCTGTGGAATCGTGCCTCCCAGTAGCATGTAGGCCCTCAATGCGAACAGTGCTGGAGAAGGATACAGTGAAAATCATGGTCCCTCCCCCCCCCCCCCCACACACACACTCTCTCTCTCCCATTTTTGACTTTCGTCCTGCCATCAGTCCTTGTTACGACGTTCCACTCCTTTCTGGCGATTGACCTTGCAAAGTTGTTGGCGAAGCAACTACGAGGTCGAACAA